AAAAGTGTTCAATCTTTTACCATGTGTTTTAAAAACAAAAACTAAACTTAAAAAACACTTGGGTGCCTTTGTTTAACCTGTTAATCTTCTAGATTATTACTACTGTGAGTTTGATCCTCACTGAATTCTCTTACTTCATAGCCTTGGGATTATTTATAAATATCTAATTGCCAAAATAAAGGAATTTTAATCATGAACTTTCTACAACACCCTTACTATTTGTTTTTCAGTAAGGAAAAAAAATCAGTCCTCCACACTTATAGCACAATGTTGAAAACTAAACTGAATTTATATAACTTCTTAAACAAAAAAAAAGCATTTACTGCATTCATGAAAATCAATTTGCCATAGAATCTATTTGTTTAATGCACCCTAGAAATTGATTTAAATGTTGTCAAAATTTTTAACTCAAACATAAAATCATTGTAAAAAATTTGATTCTTTTTTTTTATTTTTCTTAATATTATTTTGTAAAAATATTTTTTAAATGCCTACTGGCAATCCAAGATAATTAAAAAAAAAAAAAAAAATTTAATTATCGGTATTCAAAACCCGTTAAAAAATTATTAAATTTTTTAAATTCTCAAATTTTCCTAAATTTCACAATGCTGATGTTTTTATCCCCTCATTAAAAATTGGACCTTGTGCCTGACTATTATAAAAAAAAATGTGGAAAATGATAAATGATGAATTTTTTAACAAATAAAATAAAATCCCGTGAAAAGAGCCATTAAAAAGAATTACTCTACAATCTACAGCAAAAATTGTTTAACTCTAAACTATGTGTTACAGTTGTTTGTGAAATGTTGTCTTTGTAATGTCCAAAACACCACAATCTTCAAATCCAGGGTTAATCGTTATTTATCCTACTTATCCACTCATATTACGACTTAAAAGATTTGATGACTGGAGTTTGAATCAAATGATAATATAATCAATGTATACGTAAACTCAGGACAGATACGTGTACTGACACAGTTATGCCAAGGAAAACTCACGATACAACCGATGAATTTTTACATTTGGAAAAGAAATATTAAAAAAAAAACACAGTTAGCATTGCATGAAAACAATAACGTATTTTTCGTTTTTTTGACAAGGTTTTTTCAAAGGAAACTCATGAAGGATTTAAAAAAAAAAAACAAGGTCCCTCTTGATAAATATTTTCCTATAAATTTGAATAACAGGGTTATTTTTATTTAAAAAAAGTCTCATGAAGGACAAAACAAAAATGACGACACTTTGACATTTCAGTTAAAATTACTGTCTTCATTTTCTGCGAGCGAAAATTAGTTATGAATTAAAAAAATTTAAGAAAAAATAAATTATGACGTTTTAAAATAACAGAAAATTTTATTTCTTCTACGTCACCAAACTTTCAAAAGCCGAAAATGAGAAACTCAACGATTGTCAAAAAAACTCTTTCTTTAGAGGAGACACAGAGAAATGTGATTACATCAAGAAAATAGATGAAGGACAGATACATTTTTTAAGGTTATTTCAAGGAAAACTAAAAGTTGTTTAATCTAAAAAAAATTAGTTTGATTAAAACCCCAAATAAACTTTATAAAGTAACAAAGTTCAAAAGAAGAATTCAGTTCTTTTTACTTTTACATATCATTTGTCAAGGTGAAAACCAGAGGTTAGGTATCTGAACCAAAACATACTTTCTACCCTGAATAATCTTGTTCCTAATGGAGAAATTAATAAAGACCATGTCATTTTGCTGAATAAAACTTCCTGTCCTAACAATAAAGTCCCAATTTTATTTCTTGCTCTCAAATGTCCCTTCTCTTTGGAACTTGAAGAAATCCCACATCGAATCACCTAAACCAATTCTTGGTGTGGAGATGTATGACAATCTTATCAAACCATTTTAACACTAAACATTTCATGATGGCTATTTTTTGAGTTAAATTTCATGTTAAAAAAAAATTAAATTCCAGTCCGAATAAAATAAATTATTTTAAATTTTTATTCATTTTCTTTATTCTAAATTATTTTTGAAACTGAAAGAATATATCATTCATCTATAAGAGACAATATCACCACATGCATTGAAAAAATTGGATTAGAATTGACAGAATAAAATTAAAAAACGGAAATTTAAAATGTTTCGCCTTTATTAAGAAAGGAATGTTTTTCAGGAAAATGTTAAATTTTTGTAGATAATCCATTTGTTCCATTATCCTATCATTCTCAAAATCCATTTTTCTTGGTTTTCTTTATAAAGTGTAAGCTTAATTTAAGAGAAAGTTATTCTAACCGGATGTTGACAATTTAAATCCCCATTTCAAATAAAACAACCATAGCTTAAATATAAATATGAAGAATGTATTGTCCAAAAAATCTTTAATATCCGGGTTTTTCTTATATCCGGGTTTACATCAGATAATACATTTTTTTAGATTTAGATATTTTTACACAAAAACCACAAAAAGCTTTATTACAGTTTTTTACTTCAAAGAAAAAAACAAAATCACTATTATTTAATGCCAAATACTGATAATGATATGTGTTCCCAAATTTTCAAATACTCATTCTATAAATAAAGCTTATTTGCTTGTCTTTCTTTTTTTTTTTTTCATTTATAAGAAAGTAATAAATAAATGATTGTTTTTAAGATTAGGCATGAAGACTAGATTGTATTCGGGTGTTTGAAATTTCTCCATTTTTATCTCTCAGATTCAGCTGTATGTTTTTTGATCAAGAGAATTAACTTGTATAAACGACTGTTGTACTTTCTTACTCCATTTTGAATACTCAGCTAAATAAACTATGTATTTCTTTGGTGGCTTGAAAAAGATGAAACAGGGTTTGAATGAATATCCTTTTCAAGTTGCCTCCATTTCCAAAAATGAAGAAAAAAAATCCAGAAAGATCTCATTCTTTTACAAGGGTTTCAATGATAGAATTCTATTTGAAACCATTGACAACTGTTGTTCTCCAAAAAAACAACCAACTGATAGAAATGAATAGCACAAAATTTACCTAATTCAAGTCCAAACTTTTTAATTTTTTTTGACAGCATCCTTAATATCCATGGACTTTTAGTTGCCTAATCCAAGCAAAAATTCTTAATAACTGTCAGGGGGAAAATTTTTGAGGTCAAAAATATGAAATCAACAGGGTGATGTTGATTTCTTGTCCATAAAAAAAAAAAAAAAACATTCTAAGAAAAAAGTAGTCTTCCTCCATAAATATAGGCAATATATATATATATATATATATTTTAATATATTTATGGATTAACTACAAATGTTATTTTTACTAGATGCTTGGACATTTTGCTTTTTTTAAAACTCAAATGATAGTTATTTCTACTTTAAACACATTCCGAGAAACAAGTAAATCCAATAAAATAATAATTTAATGAATTGGTCAGTGTCAGATTTAAAACATTTATTCTTTATTCTGATTACTAAAATGCCTAAAAGAATTGGTCAATGAACAAAGAAAAATATTGTTTTATTTTAGAAACTTTGTTTCAGATCTTTTAACAAGTAGAACAAAATATTGTATTCTGTATATTTGTAAATTACTAAAATTAAACAAATCAAATTTGTTTTTAAGAGCAAATAGATTTCTTCCTTTAAAATGGAATGCACATGTATTAAATGTGAATTATTGAACATCTTGTCAAACAAAAAGCACTGTTTGTACATCCAAAATGCATCCAACAGCAACTCTGATCATCAGACAATAGTGTGGTTGAATTTTGTGCTAGTGTTGTCATATCCTACTATGGCAACAGGAAAATGACTAACTGAAAATTGACGATGATGCTACTGCAGTTGTCCTCTTATATCCAATGAATAAGGATGAAATACTTATGAATATTGCAGAGTGCTAAAGGTTAAAGGAATTCAAAACAAAAGTAGCAACTTCAGACAAAACTCTACTTTGCATCCTATACACCAAAAGGAACTTGCTATGTCATGTAGCAATGGCTATATGTTGGTAGATGTTGACAGTATCTAATTGGCATAACATGTCAGGTGAATTGGGGCTTGTTCAACTGATAAATTGATCACTGAAATGCATTATTTTTAAATGATATTATTTATGAAAAATACTTTAATCAAGGCTATCTCTTAACTTTATTGTATGCTTAGCTTTATAAAACTGCAAAGGATCAGCAAGCATTTCCAAATTAAAAATATGTTTTATTGAACTGTTTTGCATGCCCTCAATAATTATTTGGTTGGAAGGATAGTTCTCACGGAACTCTAAATAAGTTCAATGTTCTACAAACTGTGAGAACTTTCCTTCCAATCAGTTATTATTAAATTTTTTTTTTTTTATAATAAAAATAATCTTAGTCATCTAACCTTCTGTCCTTGGGCTCCAAGATTTTATCAATTATTATCTGAGGCAATTTATTTACCTTTCAAGGGATATTTTTTCCTTTTATTAACTATACTTGAATTTTTCAAATGATCAACTATTTAGTATTGGCAAGAGAATTGTTTTTGTCGTTTTTTTTTTCCCAATTCTTGTGAATATGTTTAATAAATAATATAAAAGTAATGTTTTAATAACATTGTTTATAATATATTTTTCTAATTATCACTTTATAATACTGATAACCCCTGAAGAGTGGATGAACATGTCCGCCTACGAAACTATGGAGCCAGGATGCTGAAGGCAATATCAATCAGCTAAGTGACAAACTTTTACTTACATTAATTCTATTTATGCCTGATGAATTGGGTAACCATGAAACTGAGTTGCACTACAAACATAGGTGTATGTATATATATATATATATTTATTAATATATACTTTAAAGCTCTGCTTAGCTACATTGAGCACTGTTTTGTTTACACCTTAAATTAAATAAATATTTCCTCACCTGTATATGTATGTTATCACATGCATATATAGTTACTAATAAACTATGAAATGTAAATGAATCCTACATTTTTATAAACAAATCCCACAGACTAAGTTGAGAGCCAAGACTGAAATCATCATTTTTAGTAGACATAATGGGTTGGTTAGATTTCTGGCTCAATTGGCATCACTCCAACCCCTACACCACCTTCATGGGCACACATTGAGGCCACAAATATCCAGGTGTCTAGTTCTGGGTCGTACATCTCAACACTATTCAGATTTGTTACACCATCATAACCTCCGATGGCATACAACTTGCCGCACGTTGCTACCAGAGCAACTCGACTGCGTTTCATGTTCATTGCTTTTACGTAGTTCCACTTCTGAGTACGTGGGTCATAGCATTCAACTGTGCGCAAGAATACAGAACCGTCGTAGCCGCCTGCAGCATACAACCTGCCATTGAGGGTGGCCACGCCCAGACGGCAACGCTTGGATTGCATAGGCTGCACCATCCACCAAGTGTTTGTCGCCGGGTTGTAGCATTCAACCTGAAAGAGAAACAGTTGAGAGACTCAAAGATTTGGTTGAAAGAATTAAATCTGACATGGAACAGAAAAAAAATTTAAATCAAGGATCATAGAAATTAAATTCAAAAAAGCTTTTACAAATAAGAATGCATTTTTGGATTTCTCTTAATCTGTTATATGTGCCATCTTCAAACACATTATTTGTTAACAGTCAAAATCTAGGCAGAGTATTACAAGACATGACGATTTCATTGGTAATAAAGAAAAGAGTATTGAACTGTTTACGTGATATCTGTTCTCCTTTACAGCAGTGAATATTAGACAGTCTACTCAAACATGAAGAAGAGACTTGAGGCAACAGAGGTATGGTTCTACAGAAGGATGCTAAGGATAGTATGGACTGAACATTTGAGCAATGGGTTTTGGAGAGGATGCAAAAAAGGAGGAAGCTTATACTTAACATCAGGAAGAGGCAGCTGAAATTTCTGGTATATGTAATGAGAAAAAAGTGGCTTGGAAAATCTGACACTCACAGGGTGGATAGAGGAACAAGAGAAAGGAATGTATAACATACTTAGTAGGTTTGAGCAAGTGGCTGGCAGAACAGGGTCTGGGAGAAGTATCAAAAGACAAAACTTATTGAGAGCTACAAAGGATAGGAGGAAGTGGAGAGCCATGATCACCTACATCCTGAAAGGACACAGTACATAAAAGAATAGGAAAAAATAAGTTTTATTTTTCTTTTATTATCAAACAAGTTTACTTAAGCTAAATTTCACATATTTTAGAAGTACAGTGAAATTATAAAATTGTCTGCAAGAAAAAAATGGAAATTAATGACATAAATTATGGCAATTTTTTTCAAGGTTAACTAATAACAAAAAATTCTATATTTATGACATCATCAAGAGTCCATAATAGTGATTAATAAATTGCCCATCTCTAAGTATTGAACTTGTTGAGTAATTGGCCATGGTTAAATGCAATTGGCAGAAATTCCCAATAAACAGAAATGACAAAGTTTGCAATGAACAATAACAAGAGAAAGAAAAGAACAGGGCAAAAATAATATTAAACAAGCAAACAATCTATGTAAGGCAAAGTAATAGTAATAAGGCGAAATGTTTACAAACTAAGAATGGTGTTAGCACACAAAACTGGATACAGACAAGCGATTGTAGCATTCTGGCTTCAAGACAAAGAAGACTGGAACAGAGACAGATGAGACTGGGAAGTGGCCTATCTTATTGCCTAGTAAGAAATACAAACATGTATCCGTGTGGTTTTGCCTATAAATTTGGGGAGGGGGATGCTTTTGCAGTCACGCCTAGCCCGATTTAACTAACAGGACTCTCAATGCCACTGAAACACAAGGGGTTAAAGGGTGTGGAAGAATTAGGAACAGAAATATTAATGATGAGCAGAAAGAGACGTGAGTAATCAGATGGACGGTAGATAGCAATTGAGATTGCATTTAAATTTTTGCAGATTAAAGTTGGTTGGAAAGCATGGAAATGGAACAGATTTCCAAAAGTGAGAAGTGTGAGAGAAGAAACTGTTAGCATAGAATTTATGTAAACATCTAGCTAGCTCACCTGTAAATTGGTGAGATCTCGACGCCAGTCTAGTGCTGCACTTAAATTAAAAAAACCCTAGGTATGATAGGGAAGAGCTCATTCAAACAATTACAATAAAAGTATTTAAAGAAAAGACAGAGAGGCAACCTTATGTCAGTGGGAAAATGACTGGAGCTGAGCTACCAGATCAGGACCAATAATATTGCAGATTCTTCTTTGGCTCTTATCAAATTGTCTCACCTGATATAGTTAACCAACTTTCTTAGCAGCTGACCTAGCAATGGATTCAATATAGTCTTTCCACTTCATATCTGTTGTGGTAAACCCTCCTACAGTAGAATAAACTCCTCCTCCTCTCATAAATACTAACTGCGAGACTTCCTAGCAGAGTCGTAGGGTAGCAGAGACGCAGTGTTAACCTACTGTTGGGACGTACACTTCTAACTGCTTATTACTACTTACTACTTATTATTAGGTCATTTTGGAAATCAGCTGGATATGTAAAAAGTATTACTGAAACGCTCAAGAAGGGGTTTTAATAAAATTTCAGATATTTGATAAGTTAAAAAGACTAGGCTAGAGATGGGAGTGTAACACTGTGACTGGAACACCCACACAGAAGATGGTGAATAATTTTATCTCTGTCTTAGGTGTTTTGTATCTTTTTTCTTTATGACTGGCAGTGAAGTCTATGAAATGGGATCTTCAGAAGCAGGCACCCACTTGACAAAAAAAGAGAACAAAATAAATAAAAACTTTTGGACTCAAGTGACAATAAAACACATTGTAGATTTCCAGTTGCAGGCTGATATTAGCAGTCACAATTGGGGTTGAGAGTAGCCCATAGCTAGGATCCTAACAGGTGCAACCACACCAGGTCAGAGTGGACCTGGGAACAACAGCAATTAAGAGGTGGTTCCATGCTCCTTCATACCTCCCAAACAGAGGCCCTGCTGCGCGATGTAGTTTATCGTCATACCCACAACAGGAGACTGGGTTTAATTATACAAGTAATAAAATTACTGTGAAAATATATTCATGGTAAAATTGAGTTCTTAATCTATAAGTCAACCATTCATCCATACTTAGAATATTACTACCATATAGTTCAGTGCCCCTGCTATTTACCTGGAGCTCTTTGAGGAGATCCAAAAAAGAATCAGCAATATTATTGGTCCTGATATGGTGACTTGGCTTCAGTCATTTGCCCTCCACTGTAAGGTTGCCTTTCTGTGCCTTTTCTATAAATACCTTCATAGTAATTGTTTGGATGACCACTTCACTAAGGCACCTAGACTGTATCAATTTAAGCACAGTACTAGACTGATGGCATGACTTCATCAATTTACAGTTGAGCTGGCTAGACATAGCCATAACTTCTATGCTAACAATTTCTTTTCTTGCACTTCTCGCTTGTGGAACTGACATGTGACTTTGAGTGTGCTAGTTTTGTTCAGATTGTTGATCATTCTAGATAACACACTTTCTCCCAAAAAATGTAACTAAGATCTGCTTAGCATAGTTGCAGCATAAACCACAGGTAGGCTCTGTATATGTTGAACAAAAAATGTGCTTGAGTGAGCGTCTGCAATAGGGATTGGAGAGCTGCCCAAGTAGATGGGTATCCTTAAATACGAGTGGCCAGCTATTATTTCATATATATATATATATATATATATATATATATATATATATATATATATATATATATATAAAAATTTAAATAAAACAGACCACTTTAAAGTTCCATGTAATAAATTATTTCACCACAGCCCTTTTAAAAAGGACTCCGGATCATCAGTTTGGAAGTAAAGTCTGATGATCCGCAGTCCTTTAAAAGGGCTGTGGTGAAATAATTTATTACATGGAACCTTAAAGTGGTCTGATTTTATTTAAATTATTTGCTCTGGATTTACATTGAGCTCCCTCGATTTTATTCTCCTTAGGTTTACCCATACAGATTACCTAGTTTTTCATAAACTATATATATATATATATATATATATATATATATATTATATAATAGGTGCGTATATTAGGTTTATATATACTAAGAAAAGTCAAAAGTAGTATCTGTTGGTCAATAGTGATGGAGCATTAAGTTAAGACTGAATCTACTAACAATGGCTTGGTATCCTAATCATCATTGCATGGCAGGTGCTCAAGGAAATTGTCAAAGCATGCACATACTTTTCAGCAAAAATGTGATTTTTTTTTTTAAAAGTTAGTTATTTGTTTGAAGTTAATTTTTTTAAAACATTATGCAACTATCATCTAAAAAACACATTATGTAAATATCATCAAATAAATCCCTAGAAGACACATTTTGGGAAAAAAAAAAGATAGAGGCAGAAATCAAATTTAACTTTAAATTCTTGAAAGACAAAATGGTAGAAATTCAAAATACTCAACAGTTATTTCCCCTGACGTAACATTCTTTGACATCTTTGTAGATTCAATAACAAAAAAGAAAAAAAAACGAATCCAATGAAATCATCTTACTGAATCAAATATTGATAATCCATCATGTCCTCCACAAGCATAAATTTCTTCATCCAACACAGCCACTCCTGCTGCACTGCGATGTTTCAACATGTTCGAAATTATTGTCCAGCTTCAAAGAAAAATTTTAAAAAAATACAATTTTTACATAAGTGGACTTGCTGTTATTAAAAATTAAAAAAAAAAACAAATTAGTCTATGTTCCTGTTAAAATAAAAAAAATGAAAACGTTTATATAAAAAAAAGCTTTTCAACTTGGTATGTCATGATACTTTAGTGTAATTATTCATCTGTTCTTTAATTATTAAACTAAATTTGTTACTGAGTTATTTCTTTTGATATACATTTTGAATTATACTTTTGAATAAACAGTGAGAGTACACTAATTAGAATTTGAAAAATTAAAAAATCTTATTTGACTTCCACACATTTATTAAAATTCCATGACGGCAAATGATGAGTGTTGTGATCTTAATTGTGCATAAATAATGGTAATGCTAATATTAGCCGCTTCCTTATAAAGAAACATTTGGCATTCATTGACCGAATAGCTAGTACTATTTTCAGTTGAAGTTTATAAAATCTTTCTCTAAAAACAATTTTTCAGGGAAATAGGTTTTTCTCAAGTCGAGTAGCTGTTATCACTCTTTCCAGTATTGATGGAGGTTACCTTTCTAACTTTTGTTTGTAGTAGTGTGGAACAATATTTTGATTATGTCATTGTTTTCTCTTGGAGTTACATGTGCTATTCAATTTATTGTTGATAGTCCTGAAGTGATGCAGTTTCTGTGATTTAGTACAGTTCTTTGGTTGTCATTCTGTAGCACTAGTCCAAAATGTTCAAAGAAGGATGGCAAGAACTCCAGGATTCAGATACACAAAGTCTTTTTTAACCATTGATCTTAGAAAACGGTTGTAAACAGCAGACATGTTTAGATATTTCTGAACAGGTTTCGCGCCATGCATGGCATCCATATGAAAGTCTCAATCTGACAAGACTATTTAAGAACATGACTCGAGTTTTCAGATTAATGTTTTTGTTTTATAGCAATTTGTGGGTGGTGTTGGGCGAAATTACCTCTGGCCCAGCCTATTCTATGTTCAATTTCCTTAGCTCCTATACTAAATTTGTTATAAGTGATCCACACTCCAAGTGTTTAGTATTTACTAATTCCACATCTTGAATTTTTATGACAAATTCAGGTTATGTGCCATCACTGCTTTCATTGCAATTCTACATCATCGTTTTTGGTTTTGGAAAGGTTTATCTCGAGTCCTATTTCTTGGAATACTTGGTAGTTAATGCTGATTTTTTTGTTCAAGATCATTCTTATGCCAACTATGAATATCATTGACATAATCCCATCTCTTCATCATCAATACATTGGCCTCGGGATTTAGTTTTACACATACATGCATATTACTTCTCAGCTGTCTTTCTAGAAAATTTACCTACCAATCAAAGTGATTGAAGACAACGAAATATTTCTATTGAATTGAAATTATAGGCTGTGAAGTGAAATGTGTGTTTATATTTAGCTGTGAAAAGATTCGGGAAGATCATTTTAGTTCCCACTCATTTTTTGATTATGCATCTATCGGCAAAGGTTACCCACCTTGTATTTAAACCGCACTTGTTTATTAAATCTTTGGAAATTGAAAGATCTACCTGTTTTATTCAAGAGGCATGAATATCTGATTTGGCTAAGGTAAGTATTTCAAAAAGGTTTTGAATTAAATTACATCATCCAACATCTAATGATTTTATTGTTTTTATAAATAAAAGACAAGCAGTATAATATTACTCCATGTGGCTTCAGATTCTTCAATATTTCATAATTTGTATCTTTAGACAAATGCTCACTGCAGAATTAAATGATTTCTTAAGCAGTACAAAGTCATTAAACTCAAGCAATTATCATTCATTCATTCATGATAGTTCTTTGGATACAGAGTCTTTCATTTTATTACTGGATCCAGAAGTAGCTAAACAGATCAAATATAGAACAGAGGAGACACTGGAAGTTAGAGGTTGTGATCAATGTCAAATTTGCACAGTGGTGTTGTTCCTTGAATATTAACGATTTTTTTATGCCAGGCTTCTTCAAAGTTTGCAGAGACTTGATGGACAATAGCAATGCCAATACAAATGATTGGCAATGTACTCCTCTAGTTCCTTTGCTTTGATGTTGCATCAGTTGAAATTAGTTTTGATTGCATCTTTGTACCATTTGTTTGGTCAGCCTTGACGTATTCTGCCACATAGCAGATCCCTATACAACAGGTATCTGGAAATGTAATTATGGTCCATACAGATGACGTGGCAAGTCCATTGGACTTGTGACTTGATGAGCATTGATTCAATGCTGATAAGAGTTTGCACAGTTCAGAATCTCAAGGTTGGTGAGTAATCCTGTAACATGATTGCAAGTATGGGGTAAAAAGCTTGTATGTGAACATTTTTCAATTTCTTGATGTTCTGCATTTGCAGGGGAGAGAAGGGAGAACTATTGCAATGTATACTTGGCAAACAGGGACCTTCGTGTCCACAGAAAAATGGAATGTCAAAAGAACAGTTTTCCTATGATACCATTTTTATTTTAACTACCTTCACTCTTTGACAATAGTTACTGTTTTAAAATGTGACGACTGCAAAAATTGCAGGAAAGTTGTCAAACTGTCTTCAAGGCACCAATTTGGATTTTCTGTCTGAATTTATTTCCATAGACTTTTTCTACATTTGGATATGGCTGCAAGGCAGCAGAGGTTTAAAATCAAGGTTTTCCTTCCCTTTGATTATGTTAACAAGAGCAACTATTCATAATTATTAGAAATTACTGGATAAAAAGGCAATTTCTGCAAATTGATATTGTGATAAAACAACATTAAATGGTTTTCCTTTTTAAAATAATTCACACATCTATGCAGTTTTCCTTTCATTTCAAGAGGTAAATATAAACCCCAAAGGATAATAAAAATGATAAAATAAAAGCCAAACTTACACATTGATTTTAGGATCATAAACTTCAACTGACCGCAGTGAGGACACTCCATCATAGCCACCACAAATATAAAGCTTCCTTCCAAGTGAAGCTGCACCCAGAGCACTGAAACGTATACAAAAAATTTGATTTATAATTTGTAATTATTACTTGTAGTTTAGTTAAGGAACCCTAGCATTTCTGGCACTACTTAAATTGATTGGTCCACTTATAAAAAAATTTGGGCAGGGAACAAATTTCATAGATTAGCATTCTTTCTCAAATCATAGCATTTATCAGGATTAAAAAAAGATATTGATTTTTTTAGCATTTTGCATATGGGATCCTGTTCATAATATAGTGTAAAATCAATCCCTGACTTAAAGAGTTACCAGTACTTTGTTTCTATTTACAAATATCAAATTTGAAAGAGTGCTTACATCATTGATAAGCTTGTACTATTGACGTTTTTCCTCCCCAATTCATAATAGTACACAGTTATTAATAACATCATCCAAAGGAATACAGGGTGTTACATTTGGGGCTGGCCTGGCTGCAGGAGTTGGCAGAAGTTTATCAATTTTGACAGATGACCACCTTCAGGGCTCCACTCTGGATTTTATGTCTGGATTTACTTCTATAGCCTTTCCATGTCTGAATATGGGCACAAGGCAGTGAAGGTGTAAAATCAGGGCTTTCCTCTCCTTAAATGGACTGCCTTCCTGGGCTGACCAGCTCCATCTACTCAAACCAGCTGGTTATAAGGCAGCAATGGTCTACCTTGTTCCTTCTCCAGCTTTGAGTTGAACTTAGTTGTCAGAGGATATTTGAGACACATATCAATGGAGCATTTTATAGGCAGTGGGAGCTTGTCCCTACTAACAACTCCCACTGACAACCTTTGGAACATATATGTGTGTGTGTGTGTGTGTGTGTGTATGTATGTATATATATATATATATATTATGATATTTGTCTCTTGAAAAAAATAACTAAATCTGTTGAGCACTGTAAGGAGACAAGCACAAATTTGTAATCGGTAACTATTACTGCTGATAATGCAAGACTCTCCAAATTGAATTGAGTTCTCTGAGTCACTGGTGTGTTCATGAAAAAATAAATACATAAAAATTTGCCTCTCTGCCGAGCATTGATAGCCTAGGGGTTAGAATCTCCAACTGATGCCAAATAGGTTGGGTTTTCGTCCCAACTTGAAGCAATTGGATGTCTAGCCACACTGAGGTGAAAGTGTCTGTAGATGACTATATATATATATATATAGTACAGATTGTTGTCCTCATCTACATTGTCATATTCATAACGTTTTGGGCATTGTACATTCCAGTCTTCTGAATATGACAAAAAAGATGAGGACAATAGTCCAAACAATGTAAATAATTACAATACCTCATCTCAGAAATATAGACACACACACATATATATATTTTTCTGTGGTCTTTTTCCAGTTAGCAAACTTTTCTCTCTCTCTATATATATATATATATATATATATATATATATATATATAGTATATAAATAAACAAAAATAATATGTAAATAAATAAATATATATATATATATATATATATATAAATAAAATCTCAGAGACAGTAATGGATTTTTTTATCACTTTATTTTTAATGGATACTCGTATTTGAGTAGATGTTCCATTTATTAAACAGTATTTTTATTTATTTTTGTCTACTGAATGTTCAAGAAATTTTATTAAAGAAAAATTTACACTCTTTGGCAGGAAACCAACCTGATCTCTCTGGGTAGAAGGAGTTATCATTAAATCTGATATGCTCTGACCAACTGAGCTACAAAGAACTATTTCGTCAGGCAAGGCCAAAATTGTACCTTTAGCCAAAAACTACTCTCGACATAGATCTACCCAAATTTTTGATACCTGCATAGTTTTGTGTCCAAACGTAAACAAAGTGAATTTTAGAGAAAGTAATGGATTTTTTTATTAATCTGACATTTTTATCAAATCCTGCCAGAGAGTGTAAATTTTTCTTTCATGTTTAACAAAAAATAAATTAAGAAAATAAAAGTAGTGCCCATGATTCAAAGAGGTACATTATTACCAATATTTCAATAAGGTCTTCATAAAAATATCAAGTTCCATTCTGTAAGCCAAAATCTCAAAAGATAGCAACAATTACCTTCTTTTGCAGTTCATGGAGGCCACTTTCCTCCATCGTTTTGTGTCAGGCTTAAACACTTCAACTGTGCTGAGGCGATCATGGCCATCATAACCACCAATAGCATACAGCTTGGCTGGAGAAAGAAAAACGGAAATTATCAAGATTATCATTTTCACATACAGTGGCAATGTACAAATCTTTATTGAAATTCAAAGCCAAATCCTTTGTCAACACAATGTGAAAGCAGTTCCCTTGTATGGATCCATGTTATGAAGAGCGATTGATTTGTTTCCTACAGCTCCTGGTATTCCCAAGCAGTCACCCATCTAGGTACTGACTAAGCTCAATGTTGCTTAACTTTTGGTGATCATACGAGCACCAGTGTTTAATTGTGATATGGCAGTAAGCCGAGCTCACAAAAAAGAGAAAATTATATTTATGCGTACATATTGATAGAAAGGAGAAGCCATTTGAGAGAGAGAGAGTTGATGGTTAGTTCTTTTTTCTCACTTGCTTCCTTATCCATGGGGAGATTGTCTAACATTCACTGCCATATAAAAGGATGGATCACGATCACAAATTCTGTGATCCATTAGAATCCTAGGGGCACCACATGTATCGCAACCATAGTAGAAGTGGTGTTTCTTGAGCAAAATTAGCCTGACAGAGCCCAACCCTCTCAGGCTGGCTTGAATTCAAAGTTTTCTTTCCTCTAGATCAGTTGCAACCCAAGGCTATAGAACCCAATCTGTCCTGCTACTTACTCCCTAGAGGGAGAGGAAGAGGATTCAAACCTTTCCCATAAGTGAATGCAATGGATCCACTAGGATTTGAACTTAACTCTCTGATCCCACAATCTAAGCCGCAATCCATTACTCCACCATGCCTTCAAGGATGGATATCACATAGCAATCCAGCACTCTTTATTTCTTAAAAAGATTTTCCGTTTCTCAGTACTTTGCTTAGCTTTCTAATGCTTCTTTTGCTAGTCCAATTTGGATCTTGGTGTTACATTTTCAATCCTCTGTTAAAGCACTCTCTAGATATTTGAACATCTGTACCTGCTTGTATGTGTACATGTGTGTGTATTTGCCTTGTCTATGAGCCACATGATTTACAATATTGTTTGGAATGATTAGTGATCACAGCAATTTTCCTCCAAGCTCCACAGGCATCTTAATCAAGCTTCTGTTGACAGGATCTCTTCACTATTTTATAAGATTGAAAAAGTAAATACTTCAGGAGGAATCTTAGTTCCTCTAGCAACTTTAAGAGACTACTTATGTAGCAGAATGACAAATTGATTTGAATGCAGCTCAAGGCTTTTTAATGTGGGTTGCACATGGGACCAGAGTCCAAAAACAGATCAATTTTTTTTTTTTAGCAAAAGAAAAACAAATTGGTAATAGATATTTATCCGGCCTCCCCATCGAGGCTGGATGTGACACAAGGTAGTTTGAATGTAGGGAGTGCCATATGCATACAGCCCAAGGACAAAAATTGTTTTTGCCACCACTCTGTGACCAGTCACACTGACATTGGTATTACACCAATCCAAGCTCCTTAGCGCAATGAGGATGGTGCTACTGCAGAGTTGGAATTCCTTGGGGTGACCAACTTCTATCTAAAATGAAGAGAAACAGCTCCACATGAGCGATAACCATGCTTCAGTAAGCCACACTAGCAATTGTTAACCCCTGTACTAGGTAAGTAACAGATTAGTAGTAAAAAGAGAGAAAGATTGACCAAATAATTCAGCTCATTTATATATCTTTTCCAAAGGAAGAGTCCATTGACAGAGAAAAGTGACATTGGACGGTTCCATGATACAACTTTAATATTAACACTAGTAAATTTGCTAAAAACCAAAACTTATTCAGTACAAAGTTTACAATAATAGCGCATTGCATGCAGTGTAATATCTGCATATTTTTTTTTTTTATTTAAATATGTCATATCAGTAAATTATTTGATACATGCACACACAAAATACATTTTTAACTGTAAATATATAAGTATAACAGCAGCAGCACTAATCAGCAGGCCGGTTAGGTTTAAGGCTCCAAGTTCCCCACAGAGAGTTGTCCTGGATTAATGCATTGGTTAGTGAATTTAATGACATAGTAATTGTGAGTTCAATCGCTAGGCTGAACAGTGTGTACTTGGACTCAGCGGAAACAAGCTAACAATAACTGAGCATTACTAAAAATAAAAAATAGACAAGATATCACTAAACATGGTCAGTGGAGCAAGAACAGTCTACCATGTAAATTAAATAAAGGGTTCAGTTCAGAATTCTCTGTAGGTTACCCAAATTGATATACATTTGATTACAGGCACAACAGCCAAAACATTGTAATAACAATAACAAAGATGAGGACAATAGTCCAAATGTAAATAGTATAAATAATAAAATCCATTTCTTGAACAAATTTCAGATGCTATTTTTAAAATTTATTGTTTAAATAGAAAGCTAGAATGAATGGCAGAACAATGAAGAACTAAAAAAGCTGGTGTTTATTTTCCAATGGATGTATTATTTAATATTAAGACAGTTGGTAATCTTTGGAGGTGTGTAAATATCTATTAAATATCCACTTAATATTCATTAATATTTATAATTTAATATTCATATCTATTAAAATATCTATTAAATATCCATTAAAATCTCTTAGAATTTGTGAAGATAATTTCAAAATGAAAGACAATTCTTTTTAGGTGCATAAAAAAAAAAAAAGTTAAAATCATACACAAAATGGTTCACAAAGAAAACAATAGGGGATAAAATCACTCACAGTTAAGAACTGCCACACCAACCCGACTGCGCATTGTGCTCATAGCTTCAGCAATCTTCCACCTTCGATTCACAGGATCAAAGCATTCTACAGTACTGAGGGAATCACCTGTAAAAAAAATTACATGAAAATTGGTTTCTTTTGAGAGATTATATATATATATATATATATATATTGCGCATAAGTGATAGCAAACCCAACTGGAATTGGAATTCGGCTCTCCAAATAACAACTCTGAGCTATTATCCATTACACCACCTGCACATCCAAGCTTACAGCACCTGGTAATCCCAAGTGCTCACCCACCAAGATACTGACTAGGCTTGACATTGCTTGACATTGGTGATGATTCTGGTCTTTCAACGATGTGGCCATAAGCCACATTAAGACTGCAATGCAAGGTCGTCTCATTTAGAATGAGAAGGAAAAACCCTGTATATGCATTAAGATTACAAAGTAGTCTTGATTTTGACCAACGAACACAAAGACTGCAAGAATATTTCAGAAGACAATTTATTGTTCAGGTTGGAACTCTTTGGGAATATTAATAAGAGATAAGGGTATAGAATAAAAATGTCCTAGGTTTAGTGGGGTTTATTCAAGACTTGAGAGAACTTGAAATAAAATTAAAAAAAAAAAAAAAAAAAAAACAGTTCAATCTTGAAACAATTTTGAAAAAAAAGATAAAAATCCCTTAAGGAATTCCTTTAATTTTTTTTTTTAAATACCAATCTTTTGCTTTAATACCAATCTTGCTTCTGCAGCCTTCAGTTTGATGATGCTATAAAAATTAAAACTAAAATTTACATTTTCCAGCAAGACATTTACCTGATGAGGTGAGTCCTCCAACAGCATATATAATTCCTGGGATATCAGTACAGCAACGAGGTCGAGTCTTGAATGTCTGAAGAAGAGGCCGTCTCTCAGGCATTAAGTGATAGTCTTTAGCTTCATCTAATAAATCCCTGCAATTATAAAAATCAGTTCAATTAATAGATTACTTTTGGTTTTAAACCTAATGAAGCTGTTAAATAGAAAGTAATTTTTGGAATTGGAGAGATTAATTACATCAAGCCAGATTTTCTTATGCCAATCAATGTTTTTGCAATAAAATTGATATTAAGTTGTAGCAGTAAAATTTTCAGAACATCTATATGAGAAAAATACTTTGTGAATTTCAGTTTATTATATTAACTTTTATTAGAAGCTAGCCTAGAAGCCACCCTTCAGGCAGTCTTTAGGATAGCTCCTGTGGGGGTGTTTTTGGGCCTTCCGCCTTTTACCTTCAGCATCCTATGTAAGTAAAATTTATAAGAATTTAGAAATAACAAAATTATTTTATATTTATTTGACACCTTAATTCAGCACAATCTTTCTTCATATACACAATCGATCTCCATAGTTTGTTTACATTTATTTTTCACACAGTTTTTATTTTCTTTTAAAATCATCATTCTTTATGATCACTTCACATAAAGTCAATCTGGTGTGAGATTTTATTATGCAATTGAAGAGTTGTTGAAAATAAAATAAAACTGTAGTTATTGATGGTCATTTTTTAATTTCAGATAAATAAAGATTGCCATAGGTTGTAAGAAAGAGATAAGCTCAAAAGAGAGGCAAGTTATTGTAAAGTTAAAGTCTTGTGCGTACAAATGTTGGAAATTGCAAAAAAGTTGAAAAGAGATTATAAAATAATCTGAAAAGAAGTTGAAAGGATTAACAAGAACAGGAGAAAAAAATTGGCCTTAAAAATGTCGCAGAAAAATCAAGAATTGGTAATAAGCAAAAATGTTGATTGAACAGCAAGAAAATATTTGAAGAAGCTACTGTTTCAAATATAAACAGAGAGAAACGATACAGAATATTAATAAAACTGGTTGTTTTCATGCCTCTAGCCAAATATTCACATTTAAGTAAGCATCACAATGAGAAACATGAGAGTACAGTAATACATGTAAACTGATTTCTCAGTCGTCATTTTTCTTGAATATAGGATTACGTTGGATGAAAATGATGGCTGGACCAGAAGTCCTTTATGAAAATAGTCAATCAATACGATATAGAAGACAATGGGGGGTTGGGGATAATGTTCAGAGTTGATGATATTGTCAAAATAAATCCAGAGAATTAGTGTAAGTTCTTAGACAAGTCATTTTTTGAGTGGTACTGACCCCCAACCAAGATGCTTCCAGCTAAAGATCAACTTTATGCAAAATAATGTGCCTTCACATACTGCAAAGTTGATTCTGGTCTACTTTGCCAAAAAAAAAAAAAAAAAAAAAAAAAAAAAAAGACACCAAATGAATGAAATGGCTGCCAGCTTCTTCAGGTATTAATCCAATTAAAAACTTGTGGTCCACCATTAAAAGAGATGTAAATGAGAACAGAAAACAATATTCAAGCAAAGAGGATTTGACAGAAGCAATAAAAACTGTTTCAAATAATTTTAGCATTGAAACTGTAGAAATGTTAAGACAATCAAGACTGATAAAGGTAAAAGAGCCAATATTAACATGTAACATGTTTTTCTCTCCCCTTTAGTTCCCCCAACACAAGAGACTCGAGAGACACTCAAGGCAGAGTGTTATTGAATGAGGTGTGTGATATGAATGTAAGAGGTGGTTGGGAGTGAAGATTATGAGGATATGGAGGATAGATAACAACCGACTCTTGATTTGAAGAGATTAAGTTTGAAATGTTCAGCAAAAAAAAAACACATGGGAGTAGGTTCCAGCAAGTAGCAGTTCTTGGGAAAAAGCCGTCTTTCTCCTTATATTTGGAATACAAGGTAAATGAGGAGGTTTCAACTCTGTGCATGTAACATGTCCTTGCTGCAAAGGTCTGAACTGGTGGAACTAAAGAACTGAAGTAATAATTTTTTTCATGTATATGGGATATTGTGTTAATCAAATATGTGTTTCTCTAGTCTATATTTAACTTCTGTATTTATATATATATATATATATATATATATATAAAAATAAATAAAAATTTACATTGTATTTGTTTTATATTCTTGTATTATTTTGAACTCTTGTTCTCATCTTGGTTGATATAAATGTTGTTATAGACAGTGTTTCGACCAAGTACTCTTTGATCATCATCGGGTATCCACTGACTGGATGATATGAGATATCTGAAAATTATTAATCTCTAAAATGAAATACTAAATTATGTACTTATTTTGTATAAAATCTGATTCCCACAAAACAAATTATCTATATTTTTAATAGGGGCATATTGTAAATTGAAATTCGCAGGAGATATTGTTTATACCGGGTTTGGCAGAAATACTTCCTAGAAACACCTCCCACATAATGATAAGACATTAGTGTGAATGGTGTCTTCATCTAGCTAATGTTTTACCCTTATGTGGAAGATATTTTGGGAGGTACTTCTGTTGCACACTGTATAAAAAGAAGTTTATCCTAAATATTTTATCAACATTGCTTGGTTAATACCAATTCTATAGTAAAAACAGAACTACTTAAATAGACTGGTCCACTCATAAAAAATAGGGAAATAATTTTTGTAGACTAGCATTCATCAGAAAGGGCTAAACATCAATTGCAAGAAGATTGACTGCATGGTTGTTAGCCCAACATGAAAATTACAAATTGGAAATACCAAAATCCAGCAACTAAAACAATTTAAAGATCTGGAAAGCATCTTAACAGAGGACAGAAAGTGCAACATTGAAATTTGAAGGCACATTGGAATAGTAAAAGATGCCTTTCAAAAGCTAAGCAAAATATTAAGAAACAGAAAAATTAGGAAAAAAAAAAAGAAATAAAAAAAGAGTACTGAACTATTATGTAATATCAGTCCTTCTATATGACAGGGAATACTGAACAATTTCTTCACAAATAAGAGACTTGAAGGGAAAAAATATGAGTTCTAAAGAAGAATTCTGAGAATACCATGGACTGAATACGTAAGCAATGACAAAGTCTTAGAAAAAATGGAAACAAAAAGAACACTTATATTTAACATTAGGGAGAAAGTTGAAATTTCTAAAGCATATGAGGAAAGAAGGCTTGGAAAATTCAATACTTACAGGACATATTGAAGTCAAGAGGGACAGAGGCAAACAATGCATAACCTGCCTAGAGAGTTTTAGTAAATGGATCTCAGATCAAGGTTTAGGAGAGATAACAAAAAGACTAAATTTATTAAGAGCTACAAAGAACAGGAAGTTGTGGAGCCATGATCGCCTACATTCTGAAGGAATATGGCACAAAGAAGATATTCCTCAACTATGACATTTGTTAGAAAAAAGAAAACTGTCTTTTTTTTATATTGATAATATTGATGCAGTGTAAAATTGGTGCATGACTTTACAAAGTTATTGGACTTAGTTATTATTTACAAATTTGAAACTGTGCTTACACCATTGATATCTGCATACATTTCTTGATTTTTAAAAATTTTTTGTACTTTTTGGGATAAGTATTTTTCTCACGTGAAGAATAAATGGACATATACTTATTAATACATATTAATTTCTATTACAACTGTTTTCTGTTCTAATTCAACTCTGATCTATAATTGTTTTAGAATTTTATATATATATATGGCAGAGTGAGTTCTGTCATGGTGCTCATGTTCTCACAGACAGTGCTCAACTAAGCCTAGTATACTGTGCAGTCAACAAAATCAAAAACAAACAACACACATGTGGTGAGAAATTAAATATATAAAATGGCGACAATTTACCTATTGCACTATATACATACATATGCCCCTTGCTCAGGGGTACAATGAATATGGAATCAGAAGGTATGAGTCGGTGTCCACAAATAATTTTTCACCAGGAACAATTTCCAAATAACTGAAAATTCCTCACCTGCATGGTATAGAGCTCTTGATTAATTCCTCAGTAGCAACACAATCAGAGAGGTATTGTGGTGTAAGCAATGGGAGGCGGACTTGCACCATTAACTCAGGTAAAGCCTCTTTTCTTTTTTCACCATTTTTCTTTACCCAAGAAATCACAGCTTCAAATACCTGGTAAAAATACATTTATTTTTCAATAACTGAAGTAATAACTTACTAATAAGTATAACAAAAACATTTACTTATTATATGAAAAATAAAAATACTAAAACAACTTATTCCTCATTGCTGGTATTAAACCAGTGTCAAACTCAAAGTGGCATAATTTATAACCGACAGGAAAATTTAGCAGCTCATCAAATTTAAAGATGAAGCAACATAAAAACAATCAAGAGGTAACTTATAAGTAAGGCCAGGAAATGTGACCTTAATAATGCCTGAAGATTTAAGAAAATGAATAGACAAAAATGATTAAAAAAAAAAAAATGAACAAAATAAAATGAAATGAAAAAAATGAATTAAAAAACTGATGTCAGAATTCAAATAATTATCTGTAATTTTGTACATACATTGTTTTTATCTAAGTTTAATAAAAAAAATAATTTGCTCTTTTAATAAATGTCAGGGTTAGAAATAGGCAAAACTCAAAATATTAATTTTTGACTGGTATTTCTTTCATTCTTATCTTATAGAACACAGTATAAAATCATACTTATCATAAAACCCAGGTTGTGTGTGTGTGTGTGTGTGTGTGTGTGTTTTCGTTTATATATTGGATCAGATTTCCTACATTTTTCAACCGATTTCAACAAAACTTCACAGGACTACGTAAAATTATTTTGCGGTGGTTCTGACAGCACCAAAAATTGGAAAAACACAATTGTTTTTGCACGAAATCAATTTGAAAACACGATTAAAAGGCATCGCTGTCGAGAATGGAAAGGGGACAACTCATATCGAGTTATACTTATTATAAAACCCAGGTTGTGTGTGTGTGTGTGTGTGTGTGTGTGTGTGTTCATTTATATATGGGATTGAATTTCCTACATTTTTCAACCGATTTCAACAAAACTTCACTTTTTTTTTGGCAGGTAGTGTTTCTTATTGTCTTGCACACTTTTTTCTTTATTTTTACATTCTGAATGCTTTAAAAATTCCATTTACAAGACAATTGTTTATAATAAAATTCTATTCAATCGGTAGACTCATAACGATTGAAAACAATGCTTTTGTTTGAGTTTGGGTTTGACCAATTCATAAAAAAAAAAAAAAAATAATAATTAAGACATGCGTGTCCGTCAACCTTAAACAATAATCTTTTCAATTTTATTTTTCAGTCTTTATGATGATCGATACTTGATCTATCTCTTACTGTTACATCCCCGGGCAATGCTGGTCTCTACTGCTAGTATAAAATAAAATGCATATAAAACAATGAATATATATAAAATATTTAATATATTCGTTTTCTCATGCTGTCAAGCTCTGTGAAACTGCTCTACACCTGATATCAATGTAACATTAAAAAAATACAAAGATGTAGCTAACAAAACTTTTATCTATGATATTAATAACATTCAATTCTCAATAATAACCCTAACAGTAAAAAGTAATCAAACAAAAGTAAAATAAAAACATGAACTTTGAACAGTTTAACAGCAGATGTGCAACAACTTATTTGAAAATTGGAAAAATACAATTAAACAGACATTGTTGGTTGAATTTAATGAAACTTGTTTAAATCTTATCAGAAGTACATGTGGCATAATGGTTAACAACATGGAAATCAGAATCAGAAAACAAGAGTTCAAATACCAGTTGAGAGAGTTTATGTTCACTTTGCACTTATACCCTTGAGAAAGGCATGAATCTATCTTGCTTCCCTAAAATTATGGGTAAAATAATAGGGTAGACTAGTCTTAGTAGGGCAACTGTGATTTTAAAACCAAGAATGAAGCACCTTGAAACAAGAGTCCTCTCTTCCTAGATTAGCTTATAATTCTCTCCCCTCACAATTTTTCCTATTTGTTTGTGCACCATACCAAGAATCATGAATCCATCTGGTCGATCTTCACTAGGAATAAAATAACAGAACTGTGTTAGCTCACTTTGGTTGGCAATCAATCTAGAAGATAACTCTGAACTCAAAACAAAGAGTAGAATCCATTTCAGCTAATCTTGGATAAAATATAGCAAAATGTAACTGGTGGGATTTGCAATCCTCTCCTGTAAAAACTTGCTAAAACATTATCAGTGTCAAAGTTTCTTTCTCATTTGCTTGTGGAACTCTCTTCTAGTTTCTTCCTTTCCAGTCAACTTTGACCTTCAAAAATTTAAATGCTATATCAATCATTATCTTCTGTCTTCTTAATTTCTGTTATTTTATTGTTCTCTCTCCTTAGTAATGCTTTTCTTTTTCTTATATTTTTTTACAATCAGTAGCGCCCTTAGTGATCTCATTCATCTTAATTTGGCTGCATTTAAGAAATATGAGTAAAAGATTTATAATAATTAACAATGTTTTGTCTAAGAAATGCAAAATAATTTTTATTGAAGTCACACAAAGCATTAACCAAGGTGCATTTTTCAAGTAAAGAAAAAAATCTCTAATTAAAGTTGCTGGTATTTACTTGGTATGATGTTCGTAGCATAGTGGTTATCAGTCACAGAAAGTGGGAATGGGGTGCAGAGTTCAAATTCCAATCAAGGCAGTTGCATTTGCCTTCATGCAAATACCTTTGGAAAGGTATGAATCCATCTATTCTAACCCCAGGTCAGGATTCAGAGCAGGCCAGACTCTCTAGTCTTGGTTAACAACTAATCTCGGAGAAGGACAACTGAACGCAAAACTGGTTAAGTGTGGACATGGAAAATCATGGCTCTCCACAATTTCCTGTCTTTTGTAGCTCTTAATAAAATTTGTCTTCTTGCTATCTCTCCTAATCCTTATTCTGTCAACCATTTACACAAGATATCCTCTGTCCCTCTTTCCTTAAATATGTCCTGTGAGTGTCAAATTTTCTAAGCCTTCTTCCCTCATATGCCATAGAAATTTCAACTTTCTCTTTCTGATGCTAAGTATGTTTTCTTTTTGATTCCATTTTTTCTAAAATTTTGTCATTCTTCATTTGTGATGAGATTCCAGCCTTCACTGCCATATTAGGAGGACTGACAGTATAGTACTCTTTTCTTTGAATCAAAACTGCTTCTTTTGTTAAAAAAAAAAAAAAAAAAAAGAGTGCCAAAAAGTTCTTGATCCAATCAAGAAGCCATTCCTTCCCAAAATTCTGATGTTTGGTCATTCTGTCAGATTTTGGGAAAGCAGATCAGATCAACAACTTCTCCGCACCTTCTCATGCCTAACAATATTTGATGGCTGTCTTTTTTCGTATTGAAAAATGAATTTAAATTAGGCATTTATTTTTTCATAAGTGAAAAATAATTCAAGAGTTATACTTATTTTCTTCAACTAATTATTACTCCTTTATATTTGATAGATAAGTCTTGAAAAATTTATTTATTGAAAATAGTAAATATTTTAGATTCAATTGAGTAAGCCGACATATTCTTGTATTTTTCAACAGTCTGAAAATTAACCTCATTACTTTGGGAATTTTTTTCATTTTTGAGAAAATTTAAACTCTTAAGTAGAATTGAGTCTATTGGCAATCTAAAGTGGGTGTTCAATCTACAATGTACATGTAATGCAAAATTGGACCCTGATTTTCTGTTCACCTGACTGTAGCTGTTCAATTTACAATATAAATATACTGCTAAACTGAGCCCTGATTTTTTGTCTGTTTTTATGCAAATATGTATAATTTTGCAGAATGGAAATCCCAAAATATTTGAGTTCATAACCTGAAGTTGAAGAAAAGAATGGGGGTTTTTCTAACACAAATTAAGTTACAAGTTACAGAAAAAAAAAATTTAACTATTTTTTAAAAATCTTTTTAGGCTTCCATATTTTAAATTTCTTTAACAAAAAAGACTGACTACATCAAAATGGGCAAAACATGTATCCAGTTTGATTCAAACTCTAGCAATAAAACTTAAGTTAATACCTTCACTGCTGTAGACATACATTTTTACAAACCTCACATTGCCTGCTTTCGATTATATATATATATATATATATATATATATATATATAGACAGCAGACAATGTGAGTTCGTTTTTTTTAAAAAAAAAAAAAAAAAAAAAAAAAGAAGAAAGAGGAAATATTCTGCTTTTGAAATTAATTAATCATTCACTCACCAGTCATTTACCATCAACCAAGGAGACATTTCCTGTGTTCAAACAAAATTGCCATTGTGTAGCGATTTTTAACATTTTTGTTTTAATATCCTAAAATAAATTATATATATATAAATTTTATATTTGTATTAATCATATATATATATAATTAATACAAATATAAAATTTGTCACTTAGCTGATTGATATTATATTCAGCACCCAGACTCCAGAGTTTGATAAACTTTTTTGTAATTGTTAGGTCCACTCATCAGGAGGTTTAAGCAAAACACCATCAAGTGGTTGTTCCCCTAGTATTTGCATTATATACTAACTAATACTTACTGTTATTTCTAAACACTTATAGATATATAGTAGCATATGACTTACCATGACCTATTTTGTTATGAGAATGTTGTTTGCAGAGTATCCTACTGAAACCAAAATTGTGGTCAGTCTCTTTATAGTCATTTATTTCCATTAAATGGCTATTTTTTATTTTTTCCCCAAACAGGCCAGTACAGCCAGGCAATAATGCAGCAGTGAAAGTTTTAATTTCCTACATAAATGAAGGTTATGTTCAGTCAAAGGACATAAAAATACATAATTTAAAAAAAAAAAAAAAAAAAATGTATACTTCTTTAGCCGAATTTATTGTCTTTAAATATATTAAGAGATTAAAACTAAAAATATGAAAAGCCTTAATGTGTCAAATGGATTGACTAACAAAATTCTTGTGAATTGGTTTGTATCACATGCAAACAAACCTGTTCCTCTGTCTTGACATGTAACTCATCTCGGGAAATTATCTCAAGGACTTCACTTTTGTCAAGATTGAGAAATTCATCAGATTTCGCAACATCCTTGAAGTGCTTTTGGATATATTTGTTGGCAGCTTCCACAAGAGTTGGACACATGTACTGCTCTCCAAAACTCCGGATACCAAGGCAATTCTGAGGATGGAGTCTACAAAAGGGAGGAAGAAGAAAAAAAAATGGCATCATACATCAGAACACCAAAAGTCAAATACCACATTCAGGTAGGCACATGTGTTTTTTCCATCATATTTATTTCTCTTATACAACACAATTCTTCTATGACTTAGCCTTCCAATTTCTAATTCCAAGCTCCTATCCATTACACCATGCAGACATTCCAGTTATGGTTTAAATATTAGGGCAGACTATGTTTTTTAGCCTTTATTAGCAACCAGTCTAGAAGGATAACTGAATTCAAAACCTAAAATTACATATATATATATATATATATATATATATATATATATATATATATGTATCTCAAAAGTAGTGTAGAAAGTTTAGTTGTCGATGCTGTTGAAAGTATTCAAATGATGTTTTTACTATTTTGTACAGTGCTCTGTACTTTTATAGTGCTAGTTTATAGGGTCTGATATAGTTATAGTTTAAATATTAGGGCAGACTAGGTTTTTTTAGCCTTTATTAGCAACCAGTCTAGAAGGATAACTGAATTCAAAACCTAAAATGACATTATATATATATATATATATATATATATATATATGTATGTATGTATGGATGTATCTCAAAAGTAGTGTAGAAAGTTTAGTTGTTGATGCTGCTGAAAGTCTTCAAATGATGTGATTTTTACAGTGCTCTGTACTTTTATAGTGCTAGTTTATAGGCTCTGATAAAGGACGGTCTTCTTGAAGACCTAAAGGATTCATTTACTTGAAGCTATTTTTATTTACTGATCTGTGACAACAGTTACATATTGCTGATTGTTTAGACATTTTTGAATGAGTTGGACAGCATGCATGACATCCATGTAATAGTCATGGTCTGACAAGGTTATTTAAGAATATGAATAGAGTTCTTAATGTTTTGGTTTTGTAACATCGTGCAATGTTGAACAAAGCTATCTCTAACACAGCCTATATATTATACACACAGACATATACCTATAGTCCTCGCTGAACATACAAGCAGGTTATTCTTGTAATTGAGGGGGAGATATATATATATATATATATATATATTATACACACCCAGACACCCCTGTCTAGAAAAATAGATTTATCTGTAACCTTGGAAATATGAATTTTGTTTTAGCTGTGTATTTAAAACCCAGTAATTTTAAAAGTTACTCCAAAATTCGCTTGAGGATGAAATGGAACTAATGTCTAATTTAATCACAAAATTAAATTTGGGGCTTTTAGCTTCCATTTTTGAAACATGGTTAGAACTGTGTAGCGAAAAAAAACATATTTTAAATCAATTAATTTATAATATTAATGCTCTGTAAATTTACATTGAGCACTATTTTGTAAAAATAAAAATCTCTATAAGAACACGGATTATATATCTTACTGTTCTTTTTTTTTATATATATATATATATATATATATATATATATATATATATATATATATATCATAGTAATTCATCAGTCTAGAAGAAACCTCAACAGAATGCAGAAAGCACTACCGAGACTTGAAACCCAAACAGTTACGATAACTGTTTGGGTTTCAATCTCAGTAGTGGATGCACACTGCTGATGAGTCCCAAATATAGGATGAAATGGCCATCCAGTGCTTTCTGCATTCTGTTGAGGTTTCTTCTAGACTCAATGAATTACTTAATTATGATTATTTCAAATCCTCCTAATTATTTCTCTCTCTCTCTCTATATATATATATATATATATATATACACACACACACAAGTATATAATTGGTATATACGGAATGAATTCCAATAACCAACAATTACTATTCTTAAAAGAGTGCTCAATACAAAGTAGAGCAGATATAATTATTTTTTATAAAAAAAATTATAACATAAGTATGTTATAAAATCACTACAAAAATAGCCATTTTGTTTCAACACACTCTGTGTCTTATCAAGTGATGATGTTGAAAATAAAATAAAATAAATGGTTTTAAAAGTTTCAGATTAATTAACGATCCTACACTAGGGGGAAACATTGTTACAAAAGCTAGAATAACCAATCGAAAACCAAGTATATAAAGATTCAAAAGCTTGACAACGAAATCATGTTATAATAACTATTCAGATCTTTAAAATACGTGTAATATTAAAAATAATTTATACTAACCAATAATTATAAAATTATATGATAAAATTTAATACTAAAATTAAAAACTGGCAATTTTAAAATCCAAATTTAATCACTATTAAGTTTAAAAACTACAAAATTATTGAGAAAAGAAAAAATATATATGTTTATTCAATTCATTTCTTCATTGAAATTACGTTCGACAAGACGCGACAATATATCGGTCATTTGACAATACATGTATATATATTTTTTCTTTTCCTTTTTTATTTTAAAGTGTGTGAATGTGGTCTTAAACTCACGCGCAAAACAACAAAAACACAATCAGATTATAATACATAAGCACCCAGACATAATTAGATATACACACACGCACACAAAAGGGGGGGGCGTGACATGAACATCTCAACAGCCCTTTATGAAAAAAGGAGACATGGAAACCAACACTTATACACACACAGTTAAATGTGAATACACTCTACATACACATAGACACCGATAGATACACATACATACATAGGTATTCTGTTATCCTTGCAACATGACAAGCCCATCCTGTGTCATAAATCAACAAACCTTTTTTTTTTTTTTACAAAAGTAATGTAAAAGGCATTAATTTGTTTAAATTCTTGAAAATGGTCATTCCAAACTGAAAATTCAATTTTACCATATATGCAATAATGTAAAACAAAAATATTTCAAAAGCTTTATTTTTCAATTTGCTAATGATGTAACTGGATAGCACTTATGTATTTGAATACCTTTAATAGTTTATAGCTATAGCATAACATACAAACTTACAAATAGACAAAAACAAATTATAGCACTACTAATATACAATTTTAAAAAATTTTGTGTTAGGGGTAACATTTTTTTTAAAAATGAACTGAATTAAACCCTTCTTCAATATTGTTGAACAAAAGTTCATCAAATTATGATACAGGAAATCAATTATTTTACAAAAAGTCATATTATATATATATATATATATATATATATATATATATATATATATATTAAAGAGAAGAGAGAAGCCACATATGCTTTTGATTATAATGAGGATTTTACATGTTTTGCAACCTTCATCAGATGAAGAGTGGTTATTTCTGTATATTATTAAAAGGAATTAATTTTTCCTTGATTTCTGATGTTTAACCATTGTCTTTTGAGCATAGTAGTAATCTAAATTTTCTCAGACTTGTGAAGAAAATATTCTTTTGCTTATGGGGAAATAAAACAATTAGGATTCATCAGAGAAAGGGTAAAGGAAGGAGGTCATTGTTCTTATTTCTTTATGACCTCTGTATCTTTTTAAACCTACTTCTATTTTTGTATGTTTTTTTGCTTTGCTAGTATATATATATATATATATATATATATATATATATATATATATATATATGTGTGTGTGTGTGTATATATACACACACACTTCCTATCTAGAGTGCTTGATTTTGCTAGTATATATATATATATATATATATATATATTTCGTTTTCCATAGATATTTGTGCATAATTTTAAATTCACCTTTATTACATTTGTAGATGTGTTGTGATACAAAGAGTTTTCTGTTGTCTGGTAATTTAATGTTGCTTTTGTGAAGGGAAACTCTGTTGTTTAATGCTTGGCTGATACTTATATAGGACTTGTTGCATTTTGTGCACTTGAGGGCATAAATCATATTATGAGAGTTGCAGTTTAAGTTTTTCTTTATTGTGAATGTTGTTGTGGGGTTTCCTTCTATATGATATCACAAACTCCACATCTTTCCTTGTTGCATTTTGTGGCCCACTGTATTCTGTGTTGGCTAAATTTGGATACGGTTAATATCTGTTTTAGGTTTTTTGATTGGCATTTGCTTTTAATTATTTTGATGTTTTTTAGTATATTTTCCATTTTATCATTCTTGTTAAGTAGGTCTAGATTTCTTGTAATTTCTGTTAATAGTTCTGGATTGTTCTTTTGTATGTTGAGACATATGCTAGAGTTTGTTCAATGCTACATTTCTTTGGATTTTGTAGTTGGTCTAAAGGTTTTTTTCTGCTAGTTCAAAACCTTTGTTTATTAGTGTTGTGGGGTAGTCTTGTTTTTTGAGAGTTTTATGTAGTTCTTCTAGGCGGGTTTTTCAGAGGTGTTTGTCGACCACTATAGTGCAAATCCTAGATGCTAGGGGATAAAGGATGGATTTTTTTAGGTGATCGCTATTGAAATGAAAATATTGTTGGGTGTTTGTAGGTTTGTGGTGGATATCTGTCATAATATGGTTACTTCTATTTCTAATGAGTATATCTAAGACTGTCAGATCGTTAAAATTATATTCAGCCATGGTCTCCAAACAACATTAGAATCTCCTGCAACTCTTCTGGACGGTCTCTTGTTTAAGTTGGTGAATGCTGCCATAATCTTTGCCTTCACTTCATCTTTGGTATTACAAGGAGTTTTGTCATTCTCTTGCTCAAATGCACACCACACATAATAGTCAAAGGGGTTGCTCTACTAGGGAGTTAGGAAATTGTCTGACAGCCATGACTGGGTTCTTCTGCTTGTGTGGCATGGTTAAAAGTCCTGTTGCCAGACATAGGGTCTTGACCCAATGTAGCACTACCTCCTTAAGGCACTTGATGTAGGCCTCCACGTTGAGTTTGAGGCCCTGTGGGAAGATGAATGGAGGCATAATGCCGCCATCACTAGTGATCATTCCAAACACCAGGATGCTGACTCGATATATCATCGAACTAATTCCGAATCCTCTGCACCGTCCTCAGATTGACACCCAAACACTCTGAAATGTTTGCACTGGATCTATTGGTGCAAATGCCAAGCATCAGTAAAACATGCCGTTTCTAAATTTCTGGCAGAGTGAATTGCATCATGGTGCTCTTTTTCTTACAAACAATGCCCAACTGACCCTACTGTAGCAATTGACAAAATCAAAAACAAACAACAATATATATATATATATATATATATATATATATAAAATGGCAACTATTCATCGCACTCTGAAAACTGCATTACTGATATTACCAAAAGAAATACTTTAAATTCAGATGTAAATTATAAAAATATCACAATTATAAATCTTGATAAATTTTTTGTTAAAATTTCTTAGAAATTTTAAGTCATTTGAAGATGTCAGCAATGTATATCGAACTATAAATTTAAAAAGTACAAATTGATTTTCACTTTATATATGATCAAATGAATTTATAAGAGAATTAAAAATAATATTCATGATTCTTAGAGACTGTTGTATAAAAGTGTCATTGCTGACATTGTAGTTTGAACCCAGATCACCAGTGAATAACACGGGTGATTCCATTATTATGTAGATCACGTGATCATAAAAGAAGTGAATAAATATGAAGTCGTGTAATGATTACTGTTCACTCTTCTTGTCTATCTGCTATTTCTATACATTCACTCTCTCTACTACAACATGGATTACAATTGTCATCTGATCATTATACTATTTGGCGTTACTACTTGAACATGTATTACTAGTGCAGAAGTCTCGAATATAACAAGCATTTTTGGAAGTGATAACAAGCTTTGGCTTGACATAACAAAAATCACAAGCGAAGCCATCAAACATCACAAGAGACAAAAATACAAATAAGTATTTTTTTTTTTTTTGTACTATGTCCTTTCAGGATGTATACGAACATGGTTTTCCACAAATTCCTTTCCTTAATATATATATGAACTACTTCTTGAGCAAGATTTCTTTACAAAAAAATAAATAAGTAACAAGTATTTCAATTAAATATCTAATTAAAATTCTATGTGTTAAACAATTTTTAATTAGAATTTCATAAGTAAAACAGTTTTCAAACATTTTTCTTGATAAATAAAAAGTTGTAACAAATGTTTGAATTCATGCTGCCAAAACACCTGCTGATTGTTAAAATTAATACCTACCTGGTTTTCAGGAAGTTACAACAAGCTTCTTTGACACACTGGAGTTGTAGAAAGCAGGAAGCCACTAATAGAGATTGAACCGTATTCACGTTAATCTCTAACCGACCATTGTAGGCAAAGTTCACCAGAGATTCCAGAGCACTGAAATAGCAAAAGTTTCCTCAGATCATAAAAGGCGTGAACTCTTGTCTAGCTTAGAAAGTTTAATAAGTGTTTTACAATAACAAAAAACAAAAAATTAAAGCAAGCAGTCTTTGTAATTATATTGTTCTATAATCTTATAATCTGATGAGTGGACACCTTAGTATCAAACACACTCAAACCCACCTTTTAAATATCAGCTCTCAAAGTCTCACTATTTGTGGTCAAGGTATCAATGTTTACGTGACTTTCTGCTTTATTTGTGATGATGTCCTTATATGCTATGGCAAAGTATACATGGGGAAGTTTGAGCATTGAAAACAAAAATTTACAAGGTGGATTTATGCAGGTTGAATGATAAAGTATTAATCTTTTTGAAGTAGGGATAAGATTAACCAGCAAAGATAAATAGTGCTAATCCAAAATATCAACTTCATATAACAAATAATAAAAAGAATTATTAACATGTTTGCTAGAAACAAGGAAAAAGAGTAGTAAACTACTACATGATATCTATTTTCCTGTATGGCAGTAATCACTGAATGATCTTCAAGATGAAGAGAAGACTTGAAGCAACAGAAACATGGTTCTACAGAAGGATGCTGAGGATATCATAAACAGAACATGTGCATAATGAAGTTTTGAAGAAAATGGAAACAAAAAGGAAGCTAATAGGAAGAAACAAATGAGAATTCTTGGGCATATACAAAATTTATTAAGAGCTATAAGGAAAAGGAAGTTGTGGAGAACCATGATCGCCTACGTCTTGAGGGATATGGCACATAAAGAAGAAAATATCATTTGATTTAGAGGAATATCTAGCATCTCAGATCTGAATAATTTTACTTAGAAAGGTCCTTATTAGTCTCAGAGTAGGTTTTGTCATACTTCAAGAATTGTTCTTGATGCATTCAATTTTCTATTTAAAAAATATTAGCATATTCGAACTACATACAAGCAAGAATCATTAAGAAAAAAATAAAAAGTCAAATATTAGTTTTAAAAATGAATAAATACAAAAACAAATTAGATAAATTTTACTGTAATTTTTATAAAACAAAAAAACAAAAAATAAAAAATCACACATTTACCTTTATTTAAATGTTTCACTTAAATTACCTTGAATAATTTTATCCAGAAATGCTATTATTTTATTTTCATGTTCAAAGAAACTTTTATAATTTTATTTAAGAATTGGGATTTGTTTTACATTTATTTATGAACTGTACTCAATTTTATTTTTAAGAATTGTGCTCAATTTTACTTTTAATTTGCGAATGGTGCTCAGTGTTACTTTTATTTAAATATTGTGCTCAATTTTACTTTTATTTCAGAATTGTGCTCCATTTTCTATGCAAAGACATTAGTGCATTTCAAGTATTCAAAATGAAAATAGTTTTTAAAGTCTTTATCAAAAGATTTTCATTTACAATTGTCTGTCCTTGCATCGTGACTACATTTTTCTGTTTTTTATCACTTTCCCATTTAGATTATGATAAACAGAAAACAAAATGTAAATGTTGTTAATGTTTTCATTTAAGTTTTTAATCAAAGGTTGACAGAAAAAAAATATTTTGTTACTTTGTTTATTAAAGCAAAATTAGTTCTTACAGTTAGATCCTAATGTTTTTTTGTTGTTTTTTTTTTTTTACATATACAGGCATACAATATGAATGTCTAAATTTATGCTCTTCAACCATCAATTTTTATTCTGGGTTTCGTTCACCAATTTAAAAAGCAATGCCTACTGTGTGTGTGTGTGTGTGTGTGTGTGTACATTAAAAGCTCACCACTATTCATGAAAAGAAAGAATATTTTGAGAAATTAGTTGCTTTTAGAGTAAATATTATTTTAATTTAAATTTCTTTTTTTTAATGGTACCAGTACCGGTCCTAAAAGTTAACCAGTCACCCCTAATTCATGTTCTATTGACCTTAGGGCCAACATCAATCTTGAACCCTGATACTAACCAACACTTCCTATTAAAATCTTTGGGTAAGACATTCATAGTTTGTCTCTACAATTAGCATTTAAGATTTTAATTTAATTAAAGGCTAGGCTTTAAATGCTGAACTTCCTCCCTAAGAAACCGATGCTACACTGTCCTCCAAAATGTAGTTTAAGATGAGTGTTAAAATAAAACTTTATAAGTCTATTTGTTAAAAGAGCTTATATACAAAACACAGCCCAAAAGCCAACACAGAATAATTTACACGCATAGAGTTCATATCACAAAGAGTGATTAGTCCATTCAAACAAAGCGTCCTGGGTAAGACGTTAAACTACATTCGCGTCCTGGGTAAGACATTAAACTACATCCAGCAGTAAGGCCTCTCATCAGGTTTTGAGGAGTGTGGAACCACCTCTTAATTGCTGGTGTTTCCAGATCCACCCTGACCTGGGGTGGTAGCACCTGGGCAAATAGGGTCCCAATACTTTTTGAAAAAAAAATTATGGGCAAATAGTTAACTATTACCAGCAATACTTTTTTGAAAAAAATTATTACCAGCAATACTTTTTTGAAAAAAATTATTACCAGCAATACTATTTTGAAGGAAATATATTACCAGAAACAGATTTTTGACAAAACATTACCACCAATAAAAAATTTTTCAGCATTAAATAACCCATTAAGGTTGATATAGCATAAAACAAAATAAATCAAACCAATCTAAACCAAAGAATATATATTCTATTCATACGAATCTATCCTAAAATTGTTGTCGGCATTAAATAACCCATTGAGGCCGATATGCCATTAAACAAATTAAACCAAACCAAACCAATTAAAAAAGGTAGATACTGTCAGGACTTCTCCATCATTTACAAACTGAACCACATCAAGGATAAGCCTACTCATATTTCTGATGCAAAAAGAAATTACACAAATGTCCTGGACCTTTTCTTCACATCGTGCCCTGAAAAATCCTTTGCTGAAGTGTTAGCTCCTATAGGCAACATCTTACCTCCTTACATCTATACAACAACCTCATTAAGTAACCCTCTATCTTGAGTGGCTCTTGGGCCTCGTATTCGGTGATCAATTAAAAAAAAAAAAAAAAAAAAATGTTACCAGATCATATCCTTACCTAGATTCAATACCATGCATAAGGATTTCGTCTTGCTTTGATTCCACCATGTCATGGGTAAACATGGAATGAAAGTAAGGAATGGTGGCTGCTAGAATAATCCTGTGTGCAGTGAACTTCTGCTCCCCCACCTGAAATGAAAAGATACAAGAAATTGTTACAATTACTCTCAATAAAGGGAACAATGAAAACATACCAAAACATGAATATACAGAAAAACATCTAGGTTTGTTGTAATTTAAACAAACAAAAAGCATCTGTCAACTACAGACTCAGAAACTACTTGGATTTCAACCAAACTTAGCATGCAGTTTGGCCAAGTTGACCTAAGTCAACTCTGAAGATCACGAAAAATCAAAAATAAGTTCAAAGAAGCCATTTCTTGTGGAAGTTAATTATTTATTATGTAAAATACATAGTGGTAAAGGAGATAAATCACTTTTTGATAGTAAATTAATGCATGGTTACTTCCTTTACCCACATTAATAATCTATACAAATAAAATGCACTGCATGCTGGGTAATTGCTAGTCGAAAAGAATTTATAACTTTGGTAGAGATATTGATAATTTGTCATTACACTGAACATTTGTATGTTTTAAAATTAAGTCAGCTTTTGAATGCAGTGTTTCAAAGCCCTTCCTAAAAACTGAAGCTACACAATCTTTCAAAATGTTTGATCTTAAGTGGATTTATTTAATATTTTGGCTGGGTTAATGCTAGCCAGCTGTACTCAAAATGCAAGTTAACCTTTACATCTGTCTATATTTTTAAGATGAACTCATGTAACTACACTATTTACATTGTTCGAACTGTTGTCTTCATCTTTGTCATATTCCCAATGTTTCAGCTGTTGTACACTCCAGCCTTCCTCAGGTGATATATGTTGGAATTTTGAACCAAACCCTTTATTTCATCCACTGGGGTTGATTGTTCTAGTTCCACTTGCCATGCCTTTTCTAGATATCTCAGTTTCAGTTATTTCTCTTTTAGTAACTCAACTAAGGTTTTGTTCACCTCTGTTGTGGCCAGGTATTGAACTCACAACTATTTGGGTGAGTCACTGGATTACTTCAACCAGCACTTTCATCCAAACAATGTAAATAGTGCAAGCTATCCTTATTGTTAAAACAAAAAATTACAAATCCATTTATTTGGCAATTCATATGAAAAAGTGACAAACATACATTGTCACAAGTAAATGTGACTGTTATTCCAACTGTTGGGCTGATTATTAAATCTCTATGTGCCATGTCAAGATATGGACGATCATAGCCATCCCCAACTTCCTGTCTTTTGCCATTCCTTTATGATCCTTCTTTGTCTTTCTCATACATGTTCCACTATTTATTATATTTAATATATTTCTTTTATTATTTATTTTATTTATTACTTATTTTATTATTTACTCAAACTTCTTAAGTAGGTTACTCAGGTCTTCTTTGCTTCTTTTGCCTTCAATACACCCTCTAAGTGTTAAATTCTCCTTGCCTTCTTTCCCAATTATGCATCCTAAAAATTTTAATTTCTTTGTAATTTCTATTCTCCTTAAACTTTGTCCATGATAACTTTTTTTTTTTTTAAATCTATCCCAAATCAACATTTTTTTTTTATACAGGCTGTAAAGAAAGCAACTACGACATCAAAATCAAAAATAAAGGAAATGCAATTTTTATTTTTATAAACAAACAAAATGTTAAGCAGGCCATGAATCCTCCACAGAAACAAATGGTAAATGTCACTCATACCAAAAGGTAAATATCTGGATGAAGGTGTTATAAGCAAGGGTTTACAGATCTTTCTTTACCGATTGAAACACTACAGGTGAAAACTACTCAAATATGTTGGATCATTGTTTTTTGTTTTTTTTCCAAAATTTTCCAGGACAAGGACATGACAAAGTCTTTTATCAAGACAGTGCACCTGGATATTACTCAAGTTCTCAGAGAGGTTTGGATAGAAAATTGCCAAATTGATTGCATGAAAGAGCAAAACAACTAATTTGAGTAATTCTTCAATACTTCTCAGCATCAGGTTATGTGGCATAAATTTCAGTCTGTCTCTTAGTATGTCATACCTAAAATTCCTTGAACCCTGTAATGGTGTTCATCATATAAAATATCAATACCCACTCCAAATTAAACAAATTTGTCCATTTCTTCTTGAAAACAGTCTTTGTTTAGAATAAAGGCTTTGTTGAATGTTAATGCAGCCATTTTTGTTTAGAAAAAAATCACAACAAAATTAACATTGGTTTAAGTGATGTTACACCTCATTTCGAGTGTAGAAGAATTAAAAATGGCATCAGAAAAGGGAAGTTTAGCCTTGTTCCAAAGCAGCAGTAGGCTGTTTTCAGCTACGTTTAAGTGAAATTAATGAACTCAAAATTAAAAAAAGGTGGAAGGAAAGGTTTGTGGTACTATGCTTGCAAATGAGCTGCAAAATCAGCATTGGAAATCCAGACATTTACTGGAGTTTGAACACCAATTATTGGTAATCTGTGGAAAAACCACAACTATCCCATGAAGGCCCAAAAATTTGATTTTGTATACATGAATTAAAATTAGAATTTAGCTGCAATACAAAAACTACAAAAGAAAAAATTATTGCTATCTACTGTCTTCCTGATTACTCTTTTTTTGCTCATTATTAATGTTTCTGTTCCTAATTCTTCTGAACCCTGTAAGCTCTTGTGTTTTAGTGGCTTTACTGCCTTGAATGGAGTGATACCAATTAAAAAAAAAAATGATAATTTTTACTTAAAAAAAAAAAAAAAAAAAAATTGCCATCATGAAAAAGTATTTAGTTTATTATTTAACAATGTTTATATTCATTTAACCAAAATGATAAGTTGAAAATTTCAGAAACACAAGATACATTAGGATTTTAAAAAAAAAAAAAAAAAAAAAAAAGACGAACAGATAAGAGGAATCAAATTGAAAGAAATGAATATAATTGAATATTATAATGACAGATTTTGAAATCCATTTTACTTGTGTATTGATATATTTATGTCATCCATATTTTTGAGAGAAATTCACACACACACACACAAAAAGATTCACATGTAACTGAATAAATAAGTATCTGCAAAAAAGACAGGTAGACACATCATCTGTTCAGCTGAGAATTATAACAACCAGTGATGAGTAACCTCCCCTTAGGAGACGTTTGTCTTGTGAGCCATATCATAAATGCTTATACTGTATATTTCCACATATCAAGGTGACTTTTAGATAAGATGAAGTTAAAAAAAAAAAAATAATAAAATAAAATAAAATATAGCAAATTTTCATGAATTTATCCTATACCTGTTGCATAAGAAGAGTACTTATATAAAGATGATGTTATTGGAAATGTTGTTACTTACTGTATCCTTAGAAATTCAAAATAAACAAAATAATAAAACAGATTCTATATCATATTTTTCCTACCCACGTACCCTAAAAGAGAAACCATTGTTTTGTTTACTTTTCATCCCATAATCTCTTGCGAATACCGATTCTTCTTCTTCCTCCTCCTTTTTTTTCCCCTATATCTAAACAGTTACAAACAGCCTGGTGTATTAATGGCCATTTACTTATACTTCATCGACAATCACAAAATACTGTTAATAATAGTACATTCCACTTTCAACATTTTTTTTTTATTTTCAATCATAACTTCATGTTTATATTTTCTCAGTTGAGCTTGCACAGAAACAAACTGATTTCATTGATATGGAATTAATGTTAAAATAGGCAATTTATTATGAAGTTATGCTAGTAATATATAGAGTAGTTACTTTTATTATCAGTTTATTTGATAATGTGAATCTTTTCATGTACTTTATTGGTTATCGCACTGAGGCCAAGGTTAGCCTACCGACAAACATTACTCAGAATTTAAGGTTTCTTTTTTAGAGTTGTAGTATAAGACAAGTCTCAATTTTCAAGGGCGATTTTTGGGATCTAAAGGTCATCTTATATTCTGGTAATTTAAAAGCACAACTTCAAAACCCAGGGTTTTCATTGTGTTCTGTTCTCGCTGCAAGATGACAGTAGGGAAGCAGTAGATTTCAAGATGGAAAATGAGGTAATTGCGGGAGAAGATGTAGTTGCCAAGATAGACAAAACAAAATTTCACAGACCTATCACCCGGTTTTCACACCTACGCTGTCTTGTGAACAGGAGTAGAGGTTTATCCCTTATTATTTATTTAGGATTGGGTTCTCAGTTCTGCCTCCTAAAGTTTTCTCAGTTGTTTTCACTCCCAATAACCTCTTATGTCTTAGTGGCATTATCACCTTGTTTGGGGTGAAATGATTCAAAAAGCCTACAAGAAGGGTAAATTGTTGTTGCTGGGTTTCAGGAGGTATAGAAAAAGAAAGGAAGAGTTGTTTTTTGAGATTGTTTTCTACTTTAGTACCCATAGTTAAAAAGTCTCTACTAAAACAGAGAACCCAGAATTAATTTTATGAAAGCTATTTTGTAGAATAGTGATTTTCAAACTTTTTTCCCGCTGCGCTGCATTTTCAGAATAAAAATTTGCTTGTGCCTCATCAAATTTTATGTGATAAAAAGTACATTTAAAAATAAAAAAAAATTACTAATGCTGTGTTAAATATATAACACAAATAACTTATATGATTAAAGTACACAAATTTAATGAGAGAGGGTTAAAGGGAGATAACTGCAGATTCGAAATAAAAACATTATCATTGATAACTCTCTCCTCCAGATTGTGAACCCTAGTTACTATATTCTTAATACTTGATATAATGCAAAATAGCACAATGATAAAATCTGTCAATAGTTATTTATAACTATTTATACTGGAATTACAAGTAATTCATAATATTTTAAATTTTGAAATCATATTTATTTTTGGCAAGTGAATTTTTTAAAACTGTTTCTAAATCTTTGATCATCTTTCAATCATTCTGCCTCACCTGCTATCCTCTTCCATCATACCTATGAGGCACACCACACTGTTTGAGAACCACTATTGTAAAATATACATCTCCCCAAAAAGTACCTCCAATCTGAAGACAATCAATTCCAAGTCTTTTGGAAATAAAAAAAAAACAAAAAAACTCAAAGACGAGGAAAAGAAAAGAACAAAATCAATGATTAGACTAAAGGTTAAAAAAA